TAATATATGGATTATAGATGATAGTCAAAGGCTAAGATTGACTGTAAATCAGAATATCTATTATGCTTACAACTATCCTGCCACAATATTATGTTTATTTATGCATGCATTTAACCAACTATGCAGGAATAGTACCAGTTTAGTTCTATTCATTAAATATTACCATAGTAACATTCATCTTAGCGTAAAAATGGTAAAGGGCACATTGGTTGTCTGATATCTGCGCACATATATGTAAGCACTATTCAGCACGTTAAATATAAGTTAAAGAATTGAGTAGAGAGTACTTGTTTCAAAACTTAATTACAAAATATATATTCATGCATTTTGATTTGGTTCATGAATAGATCCCTTGACGGATAGCCAAACGATAACTAAAAAATTCATATCAGACGTCAAGAAAGAATAAGCAAAAACTATACTTGCCAATGTAGGGCTCGCACACTTTCAAGCTATAACAAAATAAAAATAAAATACTGAAAGCTTATTGTGAGTTATCATGGCAAAATAGAAAAAAATTGAGATTAGTGGAAGATAAAAATAAAAATATGAATAAGCTAGAAAGATGAAAACTTATCTTGTATTAGTACCCAGCCCATTGGCTTCTATCTTTATTTTATTTGATAGCCACAGAATTGTTGGTATAAGGATAGCAAACACAAAGCACAGTCTACGCCTATATGGAGGTGTACGAAAATGGGAGCACAATCGTGCTGATAACGTGTTATGAAATAAAAGTTATTTAGTAAAACATGAACAAGAACAAGTTATGAAATAAAAGCAATTTAGTAAAACATGAACAAGAAATAGAGATAGAGAGAAGGAAGAGTATTTCTTCTTCAATTGTGTGTATTTTCCTATCTATTACAAGACCTTTATATAGGCATAAAAAGTGAAGAAAAATATGTCATTGAATATGTCATTAAGCATAAAAATATGTCATTGAATATGTCATTAAGCATTTGAGAAGATCATGGAGGAAGAGTAGACATCCACCATAATTTGATTTTTCTTATAATAATTTAGTAATTTTCTGGGATATTTAGGCAAAGTTGAATGGAATATTTGTTACAAAAAATAGCTTAGCAACTTTTTATGATATTTAGGCAAAATAAAGACTGTTTTCGCTTATGTTTTTCTTTGTTAGTCCATCTCAAATAATTCTTAAATTTTAAATAGTGTTAGATACCGAGACAAAGTTACTTCGGGAAATAAATTAATACTTTTTTTTTCACATTTCAAAATCCAGCTCTATAATTGACTAAGTATTGTAGCTCAAAAATCCAGACTAGATCTGGATCAGAAGTAACAGCACAATGTCAACAAGAATTACTCACCTTAGACGCAATAACATCACCACCACTTCCACCTAAATCAGTGCACATAAGTCACAATTATCAAAAAGTAAATTTATATGTGCCACTAAAGTTAAGTGTTTTGAAGGTCATTGGCACATGTTTTGAACTATCAAAGACAAACTGACGAAAGGACGCACGTGATATATTTACAAGTAAATACCGAGTTTAGTTGAACCCATAGTCAATACACTCCATCCGTCTCAGCTTTAACTCGCCCAAATCGTCCTCTTTATAAAGAAAATTCTACCTCAGTTGTGATATATTTACAAGTAAATACTGAGTTTAGTTCAACCCATTGTCAATAGACTCCATCCGTCTCAGCTTTAACTCGCCCAAAACGTCCTCATTATAAATAAAATTCTACCTTAGTCTACCCCCAAACACACCTAATACACAATTTGTTCACCTTATAACAAATCTTGACTCATCCTTCCCACAGTCTCTGTGTGGACTCTCTCACACACACGACCTAAGGTGAAACAGTTGCAGGTCTCTACTAATATGGAAAGAACCATGTCTGAGGCACCAAACAGCCCAAAGAAAGCCACTGAATGTAGTATCGCAGAGGACAACAAGAAGAATCTTCAGTTCATTGAAGAGGTCACAACCAACGTTGGCAATGTCCAAAGGAGAGTTCTTGCTGAAATCCTGTCGAGGAATGCCAATGTTGAGTACTTACAACGCCATAATCTCAATGGTCACACTGATAGAGAGACATTCAAAAAAGTCATACCTGCCATCACCTACGAAGATATTCAGCAAGATATCAACCGTATAGCACATGGTGATAAATCTCCAATCTTCTGCTCCCAGCCCATCTCTGAATTCTTGACAAGGTTCGTCCTTCTTTTCTTCTTCTGATAGAAAAACGTGCATCGCCATCTCAATAATGTACTATTATAAAGTACACAATTCACATTCTCTGTATCTCAAGCTTTTCTCATTCTTGCATGTCAATCCTTTGTCTTTCATTTTTGCTAAAATTAAAGGCAATTTTGCGGTGCAGTTCTGGGACGTCTGGAGGGGAGAGAAAACTGATGCCAACAATTCAGGAAGAGCTCGGGAGGAGATTACAGCTTCACGGCTTGATGATGTCTGTGATAAGTCAATTTGTTCCAGATTTGGAAAAGGGCAAAGGAATGTATTTCTTGTCCATAAAGTCTGAAGCCAAGACTCCAGGAGGATTACCAGCTCGCCCTGTTTTAACAAGTATTTACAAGAGTCCTTATTTCAGTAACAGGCGTCTTAGCCCCTACGCAAACTACACTAGTCCAGCTGAAACCATTCTCTGTCCAGACTCTTACCAAAACATGTATTCCCAAATGCTTTGTGGCCTCTGCCAAAACAAAGAAGTCCTCCGGCTCGGCTCGTACTTTGCATCTGGCTTCATCCGTGCCATCCGGTTCCTTGAAAAGCACTGGTCTCTACTTTGCAACGATATCCGAATGGGAACCATTAACACCCAAATTACAGATCTGTCAGTGAGAGAGGCAGTGATGAAAATCCTCAAACCTGACCCAGAGTTGGCTGATTTCATCGAGGCTGAATGCAGTAAAGATTCATGGAAAGGGATCATCACTAGGTTGTGGCCTAATACCAAGTATGTGGATGTTATTGTAACCGGAAGCATGTCGCAGTATATACCAACCCTTGATTATTACAGCAATGGCCTCCCTCTTGTCTCTACCATGTATGCTTCCTCCGAATGCCCCTTTGGAATCAACTTGAACCCCTTTTGTAAGCCCAGTGAAGTCTCTTACACACTCATTCCCACCATGGGCTATTTTGAGTTCTCACCAATTCACAGAACCAATGAAGTCCCCAATTCTATCTCCATGTCCGAGTCGCCTAATGAGAAAGAACAGCAACAATTGGTCGATTTGGTTGATGTCAAGATTGGCCAGGAGTACGAGCTTGTTGTATCCACATATTCTGGTATTTTCAAGTGCCACATAAGATGCTCTTGACTCATTTATTTTTTTCCATTTGTTTGTCCGGCATTTGACAAGAGTGGGTTGCTCTAGTGGTGAGCACCCTCCACTTCCAACCAAGAGGTTGTGAGTTCGAGTCACCCCAAAAGCAAGGTGGGGAGTTCTTGGAGGGAGGGAGCCGAGGGTCTATCGAAAACAGCCTCTCTGCCCCAGGATAGGGGTAAGGTCTGTTGTTGTTGTTGTCTTTCCGACATGTTTGCTAATGCTTAGCTTTGCTTGGATTTGTGCCATTTCAGGACTCTATAGATACAGGGTGGGTGATGTGCTTCGGGTTGCTGGATACAAGAACAACACACCTCAGTTCACCTTCGTTTGTCGGGAAAATGTAATCTTGAGCATTGATTCCGACAAGACTGATGAAGTTGAGCTACAAAATGCAGTGGAAAATGCAGTGCGTGATCTGATGCCATTTGATGCACATGTAACCGAGTACACCAGCTACGCTGATACTGCAACCATTCCCGGCCACTATGTCCTATTCTGGGAGCTCAGCATAAATGTCTCTACCTCGATTCCCCCTTCAGTCTTTGAAGATTGTTGCCTCACTATTGAAGAGTCTTTAGACAGCGTCTACCGCCAGGGGCGTGCATCTGACAAATCCATCGGGCCTCTGGAAATCAGGATAGTGGAAATTGGGACTTTTGACAAGCTCATGGACTACTGCGTTAGCTTAGGTGCTTCCATAGACCAATATAAGACACCTCGGTGTGTGAAATTTGCACCCCATGTTGAGCTATTGAATTCGAGGGTCATGTCCAGCCACTTCAGTCAAACATGTCCAAATTGGGTTCCTGGCCACAGGCAATGGAACAACATGAATTGAATGGCTAGCTTCAATTTCTTCTACTGGTAGCTTCATTCCCTATGCGGAAAAGACCAACTATTGTGGATTATTTTAGCAAAATAATAATTTCATCCTAGCTAAGTTAACTCCTCCCCCACTATCCCGGTAAGCAAGCAGCATCCCACCAAGAAAGTTTCTTGAAGAGGCATGCTGGTTCCTATCGATACATGTCCTTTATTTACAGATTTTGTATAAAGTAGATTGATCTACTAATTCCGCCATGTGGTCCTGTGGAATAAATGGGAGAGATAGATAACAGACTGTTGACCAATTGAAAAGAATTTACTCCATAAGCAAAAATTATTTCAAATGAGTACAAATGGGAAATAAACAAGTGAATGTACTATGAATTTATATTCAAGGAGGACGCTCTATTAAGACCTTTCATAAAGCAAGCTGAAAACAAAATTACACTTCACTTATTCGGTTTTAGCAAAACTAGAGATTCATAAGAGCATGTTCATAAATAACGACCATCAGAAAGTTGGATTGGTTCCATCCCCTTCTTTGGTACAAAGACACCACTTTTGTCTCTTCAGCAGTACATGAAGCAAAAAAAGAAGAAAGAATTCAAGCAAAAGAGACAAGTCGTAAAGCCTTTCTAAGTTTTTTTCTTATCCCATAGAATAAATAATAACAGAACTCAAGTGTCGTCATCTCTTAGCTTTGGCTATAGTCACAACTCTATTAGAAAGGGAAGATCGTTACTTCATTTCGACTAATTTTGCTTATCTTCGTTCAGAAGTATTACTTGGTGGCTGTCACAAATGCACAGAAAAAATACGTATTACCGCTATAAGGATTCTGTTTACCACAAATTTTCTTTAAAATAATTCATCTTTAATTGAGTCTATCAAATGACAAATGTTTGTACAGTTTTCACTATGTTGTCGGGATCCAATGTAGCATCAACCTTAAATACCCCTTCTGCTTCATCAATCTGAAGCAAATCCAGTTGGGTCTGCAAGAGCTTTGCAGGCATGAAATGCTTACCCTCAGCTGCTCTCTTTTCCAGCCGAGCGGCAAGCACTTCAGCCCCAACATCCAGCAACACGAATTTAACAACACTTGCATAAGAACCTGGTTCATAATTTGGGTCCGCAGATCTAAGGATTTCCCTGTACCGCTTTTGCAGAGCTGAGCAAGCCAGAATCGGCGCTTCGTTGTCAGCTAAGCCTCTTCTCAGCACATCTCGTAGTGTTTCAAGCCATGGAACGCGATCTTCATCGGCAAGAGGGGTCCCATTCCGCATCTTCTCTGTTTGGTCATGTAAATCATCATTCAATGCACCCTTGGGAATATGTTCTTATATTGATCGGCTTATGATTAGATTTATGAACACATGATCATAATCCTTACCTTTGTTAGACTCAGAGTGATAATCATCGGCATCAAGAAAGCGGCCATTAACAGCTCTTCCAAGCATCTGACCAATTGTCCTGACCAGCATGCATAAGAATTAGTTAAAAGCAAAACTGAAAACATGAATAGTTGGAACTTCAAAGTTAAATCGTTCCACTGTCTATCAAATTGGAATAACATATTTAAATAAGTTTCAAGTTCTTTGAGAAAAGGTTCCCTGGGAAGGGTAAACCATTGAGTATCATGTTATACATAAAGCTGATCCAAGTCATATTTCCTTTTAATTGATCCGATAGATTGAAAAAGAACATATATGCTAAGCTAAGAGGTATTCTGCTTCTACACTCTGAAGTACTTTGTTAAGGTCTAGCTTGAATCCCCAAACAGTTTAAAATCAGTAACCTCCACAGCTCTTTTGGTTAACTGAGGGATATGCAACGACAGGAAAAAGCAAGAAACTAACTTAATAAGGTACTTAAAACCTTACGATTTTCCAGCTCCGCTAACACCCATAAGCACAATAGCTTTTCCTGTGAGATAAAACATTACACGCAAGAGGAAAACTATTCATCACACCATCCATAACAAATGAAAAAGGAAAGAAGAACCAGATGGAAAGTGAATACAACCTTTGTAGTCAGATGCCATTTCTGAAAAACCTATTATACAATTGCAAGTGCTTGATGTCAAAAGCATTAGATGATTAACCCCTTCAGATATTGCAAGGTTCTAGGCATCACCCTGATCCTAAAACACGGGAAATGCCAGCGGTATAACAAGAATTAAGACAAAGTTAATATCTATAGCTTGTGTATAGACACAGTTAACGACAATATTGAGTAGCAAGTCAAAATCAAAACTCAGCTCTCTAGAATATTTTGAGTCTGATCTTTCCAGGAAACAAAAGGAGAATAAAAGTAGCATGTTTTCAAGGCAACAGGTCAAGATAGTAGAAACAATTTGAAAAAAGATAGAAACCCTTTTCCACACTAAGGAATAAGGATTTCATGATTGTACTCCTCCTCTGTAAGTTACGAAAGCCTTGTTGATGAAGGTTGGAACAAGATAACTTATGCAACAAATGTTTGTCTTAGTTTGAATCACGGATAGTAGTTGGCCAATCAATTCCTAGAAGGGGAGCCTTTACGCAATGGTAAAAGTTGCGGCCATGTGACTAGAAGGTCATGTATGCAAGCCGCGGAAACAGCCTCGTGTAGAAACGCAAAGCAAAGCTACCCAATGTGGTATGTCTCTTCTCCGGACCCCACGTATAGCCGGAGCTTAATGCACGGGGCTGCCATGGACGGAACAAAGGGGGTGGAATGGGGTTCATCATAGAAAAATTACACTTTATATACAAGGTCAAAATTATTTTTTATGCATATAAAGTATGTTGAATCACCTTGACACAACCCAGGAGCTCTTTGTGCGTTTATTTCTTTATACTTTGCTAGTCTAATATTGTGTTTTCAAATTGATAAGCCAAATACAAACCTACTCTTCAAAAGTACTTTCAGAAAAAGCACAATTTGGAAGCTTAGCTAAACATGTTA